ATGCGCCGCAGTATCATGTACATGGCCCAGTCCACAGCACTGGCGGGCCCGGACCATGTCCACCTCCCAGTCCACACACGCGGCCCGGACCATGTCCACCTCCCAGTCCACACACGCGGCCCGGACCATGTACACGGCCCAGTCCACACACGCAGACCCGGCACATGTGCACCTCCAGTCGCACACACGCGGCCCGACGCATGATCCACCTCCCAGTCCACACACAGCGCCCGGACATGGTACCACCTCCCAGTCCACATCACGCGGCCCGGACATGTACACAGCTCCAGTCCAACTGCGCGGCCCGGACCATGCTCCAACTCCCATCCACACCGCGGCCCAGAATCAGTACACCTCAAACAGTCCACACACGCGTGTCCCGGACCCATGTCACCTCCCAGTCCACACACGCGGCCCGGACCATGTCCACCTCCCAGTCCACACACGCGGCCCGGACCATGTCCACCTCCCAGTCCACACACGCGCGGATGGTTCCCCGGACCATGTCCCTACCCAGTCACACATCGCGGCCCGCGGCCAATGGCATGCGAGCATGTCACGTTGGGGGGGGGCACTCACCTCCACATATGGGTAGGTTATTGTCGCCACTGCGAAGGTTCACAAAGGGCGCTCTGGAACTACCAGACCTAGAAATTGGGGGTCTTCTGGAACTATTTGTTGAATTGGGATACTGCTGGAACTGCTATGTTCGAAATGGGGGTCTCGGAAGCTAGGATTCGTTGAAATGCAATGCCTATAAAGGAACTGACTCGTTTTAAAAGAGGGGGTTCTCCGGGAACTGTGGGGACTCGTGATTTGCGTAGCACTTGAATACTGTCTATGTCTGTACACTTGAACAATAATTGTGTAGTTATGTACACGGAGGGAAAACTGACCCAGGTAGAGACTGTAACGACCACGCTACATCACACACTTGTGACACACGACACGACACACGACACACAGCAGCACACACATGCCACACACACACACACATTACGCGTCAACGTATTCTGAAGACGAGCCCTGAACGGAATATTAAAACTAGGTCTCCGGAACGGCAAAAATGTAAGATCTCATGGTAACTTAAACTTTGATCGCCCTGGTAACGAGATAATCTTAAAAATGCGAAGCACGGCAACGGAAAAGTTTAAAGGGTTGAAAATCATGGGATCCCTCCGCGGCACTACTCACCATGCAATAATATGGAGTGGCCCTCCTCCCCTGGGGGAGGCAGTCGCCATCAGGTCGGGAACGTGGTTTGCGCGTGCGGAAGCTCGCCGGCTGGTGAACCCAATCAGTCAAGCTAAATTGACCCCTAACGCCAAGCGGTTGAAACACAGACGTTGAAGAGCCTCGTCACGCTAAATTGGTGTCGGCTAAAATTTCTTAAAAAGATATAACCTATAATGCACTTTTACATGTTTTTTTTTCCTCACTGTTGAACATAGTTTTACATTACCTATTTTTCTTGGTCATTGCCTAATCTTTAAACTCCTTCGTCTAAAAAAAGCACCATCTAGCCACTATTTTAGTCATTGCAGTATATAGACCAGACTAACTTGCTGGGGCACTGTCATTTCGTGCAGGGCGAATCGGCGCATCTACATGCTAATCTAGCCTAACCTAGTAGTGTTTTATTGTCTTAATGGTGCTATAGCAGTGTTACAGTGCAAAAAATGGGCAGCCTAGGCTCTATCAGACTTCCGGGGCCGATAGGCTAGCGGGTACAAGTGGATGTGTAAGCACACAGGTCGGGTGGTCTGGGGGTCTCCCAGAAATTCAAAAATGAGAAGCAGAGATGGTATTTGCAGGCACGTTTGAGTAAACTAAATGTAACAGCATTCATTCGACCTACAACAATAATCTTTAAGTAGAACATATCTCTCATTAGCAAGCAAGATTGATCACTAAAGATCACTAATAACTATCATGTAGATTCTTCGGTTTTATGATTAAGACATTGTTGAACTAAACGCAGTTACGCACATTCTTAAACTCTCTTCTCTCCTCCCTCTGTGTCGCGTGCATGCGTGCGTGCGTAGCGTACGTGCGTGCGTGCGTGCGTCGTGCGGCGTGCGAGCGTAGCGTGTCCGGGTGCGTGTGGGCGCGTGTGTGTGCTCAAACACACACATCACTCATTGCACATCACGGCATTATTCTATGTTGTCAGTAATTTTACATTTCAGTCAATTCAATTTGTTGTCAACAATTTAGTCTGACTGAATTTAAGATGAAATTACATACAAGGATTTTAATTGCTAGAAACATAAGCTTCAAAATAACGATGAGAAAGCAAAGCTAATTACTATTCGGAAAAGGTTGCAGGACCACAAAAATGACCCAAAAAATTATGGCAGATTTAAAGAGTATGGGGATGAAAATAAGGGAACTGCAGTAACTTGGGCGGGTGGGCTAAAAATGCAGAAAATATTGTTTTGACAACAGCATTGTGCAATAATTTTATTAAGTTTTCACAAGTGTGCCCTCAACTTGCGTGAACGATGCTCCCACAAAGGAAGGACGTTGAGAAGATAGTTCTCTTAATTATTTGCAGGACAAGAGCGTAGTAAAAATTCTTACTTTTACAGCGGTGGGAGAGGAGAGGTACTTACGGCTGCTGAAAAAAGCATTTAATACGGGTAAGGCTTATTGGGTCGTATATTCCCTGCAAAATTATAAAGAGTGGATCAATCGTTTATTTGCTCCAGCTCTTACACATGTAATCAATCATTCCATCCAAAGGTAAAATCCCTGATGACATGAAGGCAGCAGGGTATCTCGATACATAAAAATAGCACAAACAGAACCCCGGAAACTATAGGCTGTGTCAAATTTTAAGTGTCGTCGAAAGTTTTGGAGCGAATGCTAAAACCAAATAGAGAGAATATTATAGAAGATTCCTTACGTAATGAGTCCAATCTGGCTTTAAGAATTCAACATTTTCAATGACACATATTAATTCCATCATAACTGATATTTATTCGAATGCGCTCGGACGAAGGAACGTACTGGTATGGTTTATAATCTTCAAAACTTTTGATACGTTGATCCAGTAAATTCTAATAGCCAAAGCTAAAAACTATCGGAAATGGATGTTAGGACTGGTTAGAATGTTCGGTCTGCTTATCTCTGCTGGTAGAAGCGCATTAACTGATGTGAGGTACTCTCGTCTAATAGGACCCTATACATTGGAGTACCACAGGGCTCGATTTGGTACTCTGTTATTTCTTGATTATATTAATGACATGGCAAAGGCAGTTAACGTCAAGCTGTTTATTATATGCTGACGAATTCGGCCTTCGTAGTTACAGGGACAGAGCGTACAGGCTATACAGAAATTAAGTAGAGTATTTCATTCCATAAAATGGCTCATTGATAATAATTTATCCTTGCATCTTTGAAAAACTGAAAGTACTTTTTTGGAACTAATACACAAACTCAGGATAATCAAAACTCGGAATCAGATGTAATGGTCCATTGCAGCATATAAAATACAGTATAAGTATTAGATAAGATTGGAAGACACCAGAGTGGTGAGATAACGGGAATAGTGTTGTAAAATCAAGATTAACAATAGATGAATTATTTCCAGAAAGCTAAGTATTTAAATACGGATGTAAAAGATTACTAGTTTCTGCCGCTATTCCAATGTCACTTCTGACTATGCAAGAGCATATGAGGCAAGCCAGTCCCCTCAACAAAGCACACAAAGGCTAAGCTGCAGTGTTCCAAATAAAGCTATTAGATGTGTTCTAACCTAGTTCTAGGCCACTAGGGGTTGGCTAGAGAGTTCAAGCTGTAATTGGGTTCCTGTAGAGTTTAGGGTAATGCAAACTGAAGGTCATAGGGCTTTTAAGATTATTACATAATCTCGCCCCACGAGTATATGACAGAGTTTCATGTTACGTCAGAAGTCCATAGTTTCAATACAAGGGAAGGTGAGAGTCATTTTAAACGAGGGTGGGAAGCTGGGAAAACTCTTTTACTTATAGCTGCAATTTGAGCTTGACTCTCTATACCACGCAGTTAGGACAATTCCTGTTTATTCTAGTTTTAAGTAGTAGTGTTAAGAATTCTGATGGAAAAGTAGAATTCATAGAGGCAGAGAGGAGATGTTTTTCATTAAAGAAATCGGGTCGAAATTAAGGCAAAAAAAGTTGTATCATCTGTGAAATGTACCAGTGCTATGACGATTAAAACTACAAATCGCTATATTCAATGTTTTTCTGATAGTAGTGGCATGTTAGATTCATTAAGGCATAGCAAAACAAGCGACCACAATGTAAATATAGTTGTGCTATCATGCTTTTGTGTATTATCCTTGGTAATTATCCAATTTTATGATTCAAATTTTTGATGGTAAAAGTATGCAATGTATGTTATGCTGGATAAATTGCCTAAATAAAAAAAAATACAAAAATAAAAGACTCTCTCTCTCTCGCTTCTCTCTCTCTCTCTCTCTCTCTCCCGCTCTTTTTCTCGCGCCATCTGATAAGTCTCTTCTCTCTCGCGCGCGCTCTCTCCTTCTCTCTCCTCTCTCTCTCTCGCGCGCTCTCTTTCTCCTCTCTCTCTCTCTCGCGCGCGCTCTCTCTCGCTGCAATAAAAAATGTGTTTTGGTGAAATGATGACTGATACATGTGTATCCTGTGCATGAAACTGCGTATCTGCGTTATGTTTGTTTATGTTTTATGGTAGCAATTGGAGCGTTATGTAGCTTTATTATATGGAGCGTTATGTTTTATGGTAGCTACGCCTCTGACTGCTAACCTGCCTGTTCTGGTTACAGTTTTTGATTGGACAAATATATTATTGCGCTCTGACATTCCTGATGTTTTCTTATTCTAATATTCTATTCGCAAAGCTTTAAATTTTTATAATTAATTATTGTGATTGCTGTGTCTGAACTCTGAAGTCCGTGTCTGAGTATTATTCTGTCTAATAAAAATTAGTTAATCTATTGTAGAATAGATGGCGCTGTTTCCTTTTAGTCATTTCTTTCATCTCTGCGTTCATACATGTTTCATTTAGTGATATGATTTTCAAGTCAAAATGCCTAATATTTTATCAATTTTAGTGTTTTTTATATTATCTATTACATTAATAGGAGCACAGGACATACTTGGATGTGGAGGTTTTGTTAAATCTGACGTCGATATAAATTTCTCGTTGGTTGAGGTTAGTTTCTCGTGACTCGTGAGTCGTGTACTCAGTACTGTAACTGTGTAGCTAATGACTGACGAGTATCACATGCAAGTATCTGATCTGTCTGATGTAGACTGATCATAGTGTGATAGCACTATCTATGCGAGTCAAGCTTACTTTAAGACCCAGAGATTTAAGCTGGGTTTACACCCTCAACTTTAGTTGAAGAGTTTACGCTCAAAGTGAGCGCTCAACTCCAAAAAGTTGAGTGCTCAACTTGTTGATGTCAACATGGCCTAGTCCTACTAAAACTACTTGAGAAATTAGAACATGTATAATGCATTGGAGTTGTGAAAGGACCACTCGTGGGCTTTTATGAGCCATATGTCTGGAATGTCTACTTAGGTGGCCATTAAAATTACAGAGTGCATGGCTATATCATATATGCCCGGCAGCTGGCATATATCTGACGGCTGCCGGGCACGGTCTTCAATTTCCTAAATGGCTGCCAGTTTTTAATTTTCAGCGTTATCTCAAGTAAACAAGGGTTAGGGTTAGGGTTAGGAACTGCCGGGCATTTAGGAAATCGAAGACCGTGCCCGGCTGCCGGGCATATAGCCACAGCGTTAAAATGATTAATACTGACTGTATTCACAGTACCTATTACATCAATGCGTAGCTCTCTAGACACTTATACTAAAGCTGAGAGGGTCTATGTCCCCCAGGGTACTGCCGGAACGTATCCTGGGTACGGTCCGGTATACCGGAACGTACCATGGTACTATCTAATATGCCGGACCGTACCTCGCCTACTCCACTAACGAGTTTAGGGAGTCGCCTACGCCTACTCCCTAACCCGCGGGCCGTCAACGATCAGATAGCGACGAAGCCGCACGGGTGCCACTGCCGTCAGCAAGGCCAGCAACAACCTACCACTGAAGGGACCGTCCTGTAGCTCCTGGACGCCGACTACGTCGAGAAGGCGGCTGCCACTGTCTGACACGTATGTGCATTGGCCCAGTCGCAGCACCCGCGCCCGGACCATGTGCACGGAAAACGAGTCCAGTCAGCCCGCGGCCGGATCGCATCGTCACACGGCGCCAATCCACACCCCCGCGCCCGGCACCATGTACAATAGGCCGCCAGTCCACACACGGGTGGCCGCGGACCATTGGCATGCCGAGTCCACGACCCAGGCCTGACCAATGTGTCACGGAGTCCTGCCCAGTCCAACCGCATGCCCCGACCATGATCATCCTCACCAGTCCCACACACGCGGCCCGGACCATGTACATCGGCCCAGCCAGCACAACGCGGCACCGGACCATGTCCACCTCCAGTCCACACAATCGCCGACCATGTCGCACGGCTCTCCAGTCCCACACACTGGTTGGGTTGCTGGAGCCTTTGCGCAGGGATGGTCAAGGGAGGCGCGGGTCCTGTGGTAGCGCGGCCCGGACAGCATGTCCAGCCTCCCAGTTCCACACACGCGGCCCGGGCCATGTGCAACAGGCCGAGTCACATGCAGCGGCCCGGGACCTATGTCCACCTCCGCAGTCCCAGCACACCGGCGGCCCCGGACCATGTCCACTCTGCCAGTCCACACACAGCGGCCCCGCGCGACCATGTCCACACTCCAGTCCACCACACGGGCGGCCCGGACCATGTCCACCTCCCAGTCACACACGGCTGGGCCGACCATGTCACGGGCCCAGCCACACACGCGGCCCGGACCATGTCCACGCTCCTCAGTGCCACTACTCGCCGGCCCTGGAACGCAGTCCACCTCCCAGTCATTCACACTGCGGCCCCCACGGACCATGCTCACCTCCGATATTCGCACACACGGCGGCTCGGACCAGCTCCACCTCCCAGTCGCACACACGCGGACCGACATGTGCACCGCCCGTCCACACAACGGCCGGCCGGACACCATCCTCCCAGTCCACACACGCGGGCCGCGATGCGGGTTATGGTGATGCGCCGCAGTATCATGTACATGGCCCAGTCCACAGCACTGGCGGGCCTGGACCATGTCCACCCCCAGTCCACACACTGCGGCCGCGGACCATGTACACCTCCCAGTCCACACACAGCGGCCCGGACCATGTACCCTGCCCAGGTCCACACACGCAGACCCGGCACATGTGCACCTCCAGTCGCACACACGCGGCCCGACGCATGATCCACCTCCCAGTCCACACACAGCGCCCGGACATGGTACCACCTCCCAGTCCACATCACGCGGCCCGGACATGTACACAGCTCCAGTCCAACTGCGCGGCCCGGACCATGCTCCAACTCCCATCCACACCGCGGCCCAGAATCAGTACACCTCAAACAGTCCACACACGCGTGTCCCGGACCCATGTCACCTCCCAGTCCACACCACCGCCCGGACCATGTCCACCTCCCAGTCCACACACGCGGCCCGGACCATGTCCACCTCCCCAGTCCACACACGCGCGGATGGTTCCCCGGACCATGTCCCTACCCAGTCACACATCGCGGCCCGCGGCCAATGGCATGCGAGCATGTCACGTTGGGGGGGGGCACTCACCTCCACATATGGGTAGGTTATTGTCGCCACTGCGAAGGTTCACAAAGGGCGCTCTGGAACTACCAGACCTAGAAATTGGGGGTCTTCTGGAACTATTTGTTGAATTGGGATACTGCTGGAACTGCTATGTTCGAAATGGGGGTCTCGGAAGCTAGGATTCGTTGAAATGCAATGCCTATAAAGGAACTGACTCGTTTTAAAAGAGGGGGTTCTCCGGGAACTGTGGGGACTCGTGATTTGCGTAGCACTTGAATACTGTCTATGTCTGTACACTTGAACAATAATTGTGTAGTTATGTACACGGAGGGAAAACTGACCCAGGTAGAGACTGTAACGACCACGCTACATCACACACTTGTGACACACGACACGACACACGACACACAGCAGCACACACATGCCACACACACACACACATTACG